ATTTGCTCAGTGTGACTGGCTATAGCTGCTTTTAGAGTATTTTCTGTGTCAACACTTCCCGATGTAATCTTCTCTTCAAGGTTTTGGATCTTATTCTCGAGGTTGGTTATCTTGGATTCTCGTCGCTCGAGTGTTGCCTTGTGTTATGGTTGTGTGTTCTGTTGAGGTTGGTAAGGAGACGTTTGAGGGGAGGGTTTATATCAGAATTAAATGTTCTATGAATGTAGTAGGTGCAGTAATAAGTATGGATGTTTTGTATTGTAAGTAGGTTTAGAGTTTTGAATATTGGTGGAGTGTGCTGCCTGTAGTGGGAATTTGTTATCATTCTGACTGCAGCCTTTTGTTGGGTAATTAATGGTCTGGGATGGTTTATTGTTGTTGAGCCCCATGCACAAATTCCATAGGTGAGATAGGGGTAAATAAGTGAGTGATATAGGGCCAGGAGGGCTGACTGTGGAACATAGTACCGTATCTTCGATAGTATGCCTACGGTCTTGGAATTTTTTGGGGAAATTTGTTGTATATGTGTTTGAAATTTGAGTCTATTATCAAGGTGGATTCCTAAGAATTTTCCTTCTGTGAGTTTTGTGATAGGTGATCTGTTACCAAACTGAATGAAGTAGGTTTTGTCAATGTTTAGAGTAAGTTTGTTAGCACTCATCCAGGTAGATATTTTCTGTAATTCGGTATTTACAGTATTGGCAGTATTTCTCTACACTTGCTGCTCCTGTTCACCTAGCAGTAGGAACCTGGGTGTTAGTTGACTGTTGTTTATGGTATGCTGAGGGGTCCAGATTAACCTAAGTTGCCTGAAATGCTCTGCATAATGCCAATGATGTCAGCTACATCTATACATGTACATGTAAAAATAAAGATTATTATTACTATTGGATAAACTTGATTACCCCCTATTCCGTAGGCGCTGTATGTTCCTTACGGATTCTGCAGTTTCCGGTAAATTTATATATGTATAATAACCTAGGATAGGCCAATGGCCATAATGTATATGTACATAAATAACCTATGATAATCCAATAGTTAAACAACATATTCACCTTTTGATTTATAGGCGACTGTTTGATTGAAGCTTGTAACAAAGTGGTCAGAGCGTTATAGTGATGGCAGCAGCTACCTGGAGACGTGAAGGAACCTGAGTGAGGGAGACGTAATGGAGACTGAGTGAGAGAAACTTGCAGGAACCTGAGTGAGGGAGATGAACACACGTCCTCCTCAGCAAAGGTTGTAAACATTAGTTCGTATGTGTGAACTTTTGACTACCTCATCATTTTACTTCGATCGGATCAATAACAACAACCTAAATTAAAAAAACAAATTATTCACTTTCAAATAACATCTGTCATTTAAATTATCCACGGTAGTAATATTTAACAACAGTGGAAATTTAGATAAATGTGGAAGTAGAAGTCAAGAATAACGAAGAAACACGGCCTAGCCATCTCACAAGTCAACATAAAATCTCACAATATTAATACGTCACAAACAAGCTAAGGATGTGTCTTAAACATGTACCACTCTTTTAAATAACTCTCTATGGCGACTTTTACAAACTAGGACGATACCTATAAACAAATCACATTCCTAAAACACCATAGTACATGTAACCATCCTTTGTTTAACTAGTGAGCTAGTTAAATAATAATAATAATATCTTTATTTACTACAAGTACATGCACAAGGTATACAGACCATAGCTGACATCAATGACGTACTATTATATAGAAAGTCGCTTGTTATGCTGAGCATTTCCCACAAATTAGGTCAGTCCTGTCCCAGTATACGACCCACACCAGTCGACTAACATCCAGGTACCTATTTTAAACTGATGGGTGAACAGGGACAATTGATGGGTGAACAGGGACAACTGATGGGTGAACAGGAACAACCGATGGGTGAACAGGGACAACTGATGGGTGAACAGGGACAATTGATGGGTGAACAGGGACAACTGATGGGTGAACAGGGACAACTGATGGATGAACAGGAACCGATGGGTGAACAGGGACAACTGATGGGTGAACAGGGACAATTGATGGGTGAACAGGGACAACTGATGGGTGAACAGGGACAACTGATGGGTGAACAGGAACAACCGATGGGTGAACAGGGACAACTGATGGGTGAACAGGGACAACTGATGGGTGAACAGGGACAACCGATGGGTGAACAGGGACAACTGATGGGTGAACAGGGACAACTGATGGGTGAACAGGAACAACCGATGGGTGAACAGGGACAACTGATGGGTGAACAGGGACAACTGATGGGTGAACAGGAACAACCGATGGGTGAACAGGGACAAATGATGGGTGAACAGGGACAACTGATGGGTGAACAGGGACAACTGATGGGTGAACAGGGACAACTGTTGGGTGAACAGGAACAACCGATGGGTGAACAGGGACAACTGATGTGTGAACATGGACAACTGATGGGTGAACAGGGACAACTGATGGGTGAACAGGGACAACTGATGGGTGAACAGGGACAACTGATGGGTGAACAGGGACAACTGATGGGTGAACAGGGACAACTGATGGGTGAACAGAGGATGGTTTAACTAGTGAGCTAGTTACACAGCTGATGGTTTAACTAGCGAGCTAGTTAAACAGAGGATGGTTTAACCAGTGGAAGTTTACCTGGAGAGGGTTTCGGGAGTCAACGCCCCCGCGGCCCGGTCTGAGACCAGGCCTCATGGTGGATCAGGATCTGATCAACCAGGCTGTTACTGCTGGCCGCACGCAAACTGACGTACGAACCACAGCCCGGTTGGTCAGGTACTGACTTTAGGTGCCTGCTTGAAGACAGCCAGGGGTCTATTGGTAATCCCCCTTATGTATGGTGGGAGGCAGTTGAACAGTCTTGGGCCCCTGACACTTATTGTATTGTCTCTTAACGTGCTAGTGACACCCCTGCTTTTCATTGGGGGGATGTTGCATCGTCTGCCAAGTCTTTTGCTTTCGTAGTGAGTGATTTTCGTGTGCAAGTTCGGTACTAGTCCCTCTAGGATTTTCCAGGTGTATATAATCATGTATCTCTCCCTCCTGCGTTCCAGGGAATACAGGTTTAGGAACCTCAAGCGCTCCCAGTAATTGAGGTGTTTTATCTCCGTTATGTGCGCCGTGAAAGTTCTCTGTACATTTTCTAGGTCAGCAATTTCACCTGCCTTGAAAGGTGATGTTAGTGTGCAGCAATATTCCAGCCTAGATAAAAACATGTGCTGGTTATTTGTGTATAGTTGAGTTACTTAGCTGTTTTAACTTTTAATAATAATAACAATAATAATAATAATAATAATAATAATAATAATAATAATAATAATAATAATATTTTTATTTACTACAAGTACATGTACAAGGTATACAGACCATAGCTGACATCAATGACATACCACTATACAGAAAGCCCCTTGTCATGCTGAGCATTTCCCGCAAATTAGGTCAGTTTTGTCCCAGGATGCTGGTTTAGCGCTCCTTTTTGATTATAATAATAATGTCCCAGGATGCGACCCACACCAGTCAACTAACACCCAGATACCAATTTTATACTGATGGGTGAACAGGGACAACAGGTGTCTTATGGAAATACGTCCTAATGTTTTCCAGCCTTACCGAAGATTCGAACTCCGGACCTCAGTGTGTGAGCTGAGTGCGCTAGCTCACACATAAGTCACTCACTGACTTTGTTTTTGGAGTTATCTTAGATAATCTACACATATGCTGCTATGTATGATAATTTATATAAGTATTTATGTGTACCTATACCCGAATAAACTTTCTTTGTTAGACATGAAAAAGCCTGATGTACAGACGCCACACTGTAAGTTTCCATTATTGCTTTTATCTCTATCAACTACAACCTAAATGTAAGCTATGGGTCATATATAGAAATAAATGTGTACAATAATATCAGTGTTGTACCTGTAAACTGAAAACTACTATACATTATAAAAATGATAGCAGACACTGTGGGATTTTATTTATACCCTTGAATTTACAGGCTAAGAGATGTTATCTTCCCTCAGATCATAAAACAGTCCAACGTCAGGATGGCAAACACAATGTTGAACCATAACTACAACCATAACAAAGTGGTAATATTTTGATTTGTCGGGTTATCCTAGGTTAAGTCATCACTACTTGTCACTACTGTATATATTAATAAAACAATATATTTTCATGTTTATGTAGGACTAATGTTATCTGTCAAATGGTTAATGTGGTTTGAAGCCTATCGACTACACTATGATCATTAGGGTTGCATGTGCCATATTCACCATCAGATAGTAATACTTTATTTAATCTCTAAAATGGGGATTAAACTCTCAGCTGACAGAAATACATCTCTAGATGTACTCCCTTATTTGTGACTGCAGGGGTCGAATCACAGCTCCTGACCCCGCCTCTTCGCTGCTATACAATGTATGTCAAATGTCTTATGTGTCTTATTTACATTGTTAAATGAAATATTAACACTAATGTTTAATGTAAATATTATAGAAAATTATATATCTTTTAATTTGTAAAAATATTTGTAAATTTAAGCTAAATAAAATGATCAATAACTAGTTATATTTTCAGGAGGATAAGGGTTCTTGGTCCAAGGAACTGGAAATGCCCTTCCCTTCCCTTCCTTATATAAAACCTGATTACCTCTCATTCACATATGCTGCTATGTATGATCATTTATGTAACTTTATTTATGTGTACCTGTACCTGAATAAACTTACTAATTATTCATCCAAAATATAATCCTAAACGTATTTACAAAAGTAAGTCATTAAATACTGTCAGTTTTATATAACAGCGAGAAGAAACATAGAAAACGTGGCACCTGTTCGGATGCTGATAATTTAAGCTAAACATGATTGAACTATTTATCCAAAAATATAATCATATTGTTTTTTACCATAGTTGATCATGAAAGATTATTCACTTTCTATAACTGTTATGAGAAATAAAGAAAACGTGAGGCACCTGCTTGGATGCTGGTAACAGGTTTCTCGTAAAGGCAAATGTAGTTCTATTTCAGGCTCCCGGTCGGAGGTTTGCCGGCTATCACCTTGAACCTCTCACAGTGAGGGGAGCAGGAGAGAGAGGGCAGGTTCACACAGTGTAAGTGGCATCAGTGATACGTCTGTGAGGTTCACAAGTTGGCCAGTGGTTCCTGTGAGACGTAGGCAACCACAAGGTCCTGGTCGCCGTGGTAGCCCTCTTGGAATATTACTTGATGCTCACGAGTGCCACTTAGTCATCTCCTACAGTGAAAGATCACCTAGTAACGGTAGGGAACTGCAGTGCGTGGCATCTTAGAAGATAGGTTCTTGACTTACAACATTCCCAAGCTGAACTGACCCGAGTGGATGCAAACCTTGCAGAAACTTGTGTGGAAAACTCCTCCCACATCTTGGTAAAACAATCAGGAGAATTCTTGAAGCTTACATCACTGCGAGCTTTTAGTGCACTAACATTGTTGTGGGGCTTAGAAGTGTAAGTTATGTCCTCTTGACTTAACCTAGAAAGATGCCTTACGTAATGTTGTAGCTGGCCAGTAGACACAAGATGTAGGTGTGCATTTAATAGATTTCGAGATAATTTTCGGGGGCACTTTTTTAATTTTGTTTGTGAAGTGTCGCGCGCATATGTCGGTACAAAGCTTACAGTTATAAGAAAAACTATATATCCAAGCATAATATATATTGAATGTATAGTACGGGAAGGAATACAAGAGTGGATCATTACCATATTGTCTGGCTCCAGCTGGTGTACTGTCGCAATAGCGGTGAAAAAGACGCAGGCTGCATGTGAAGCTTTTATTGAAGTAATAGTTAGCTATGTGTAGAAATTTATCATGCTTGGTAAAGTTTACACAGAGCGAAACGTTATCTCAATTAAAGCTTGCCTCATAACCTATTTTTTTCCCCACACTGGTGCTTTACTATAACGTAAGAGTAAGTGCTGGAGTTAAATGAAATATTTTTGGAAGGGGTAATACGGAGGCATGCGTCAAAGCACGTATATCTTACAACTTTTATATTTTATCAAACTCACCTAAAACTAATAATTTACTTATTATCCAGATAAGCCTATGTGGCTAAAGCTCCCGCTTCACACACGGAGGGCCCGGGTTCGATTCCCGGCGGGTGGAAACATTTCGACACGTTTCCTTACACCTGTTGTCCTGTTCACCTAGCAGCAAATAGGTACCTGGGTGTTAGTCGACTGGTGTGGGTCGCATCCTGGGGGACAAGATTAAGGACCCCAATGGAAATAAGTTAGACAGTCCTCGATGACGCACTGACTTTCTTGGGTTATCCTGGGTGGCTAACCCTCCGGGGTTAAAAATCCGAACGAAATCTTATCTTATCTATCTTAACAGGCTGCCCAATATATACTAACATTCACGAGGCAATAATTCACACACTAAGCGTCTTTCAGCCTGTAATAAGCTATTCACTACTGCAATTCAGTTTTAAAAAAATATATATTTCCTGTTGTTACTGACTATCCCAGCATTGATTTTTTTTATCTCGGTTAAACATTTATAAGAGGAAATTCTTGTTGCTATATTGTTTCCTTGTACATACAGTAGACTGTCAGACTGCATGAAATTTATCACCCAAGAGGAACTACAGTGGGTTGTCGCCAGGCTGGATGAGTTTCATTTTTCAAGAGAAACTACAGTGGTTTTGTCGTGTTTAAATTAGAAATTACAACCGTTTACAAAGACTATATCCTGAGTCTGGTGCCACAGCAGACTGCCAGAGAAGTTTTGTGGTGGTATATACCTTGTCCGTTCTAACAACCTTCTTTCTTGACACGGCTAAATTAACTGTCTTAAAGGTTGAGCGTCTGCTTAAAATCGAAAGACCTTGGGTTCAATCCCTAAGCGAGGGGAAACAAATAGTCTCTTTGCACCTGGTACTCTTCACTTAGCAGTAAATAGATACCTATGACCTAGTAGGCTGTTCTGAGCCACCTCCAGGAAACAAGACATGAAGGACTCCACTACAATTAAGCCACATTGCTGGGGTTACCCTGAGTTACTGACCCTCTCGGGTTACTGGTCAGATGGAAATCTTCATTTCAAACCCAAGCCTATTTAAGTTATACATATTCTCCCCACAATACGATCCACAGCAGTTGAGTAACACTCATTAGTGGTTCTGATCAGACACAACAGGTGTAAGAATTGCCTGAATGTCTCGCCCATGCCGGTAATAGAACCCAGGTCCTTTCTATTGTGAGCCAAGGGCTCGAGGACTGAGCTATACTTTCATTATAATAGATATGATGAAGCAAGGAGAGCCCCTGGAGCAGTGCCAAGCCTGTTAATTTCTTTGGCATTCCATATATAAACGTGTGAGCAGCCGGGAGGCGACCAGTTCTAGGCTGGCGGCCGCCACGTTCGTAAGGATATGTTACATGATTTTTCAAGCAGAACTTTACTTTAGAATTGCTTATATGTATTAAAATTAAGAGGTTTTCAAGAGGAAGTATACGAATTTAATGCTGTCGTGAATACAATACTACTAGTATTAGAGAAAGCGTCAGCCATATAACTATTGAAGTATGAGACCAATTTATTTTTGTCAATACATTCAGTGGCGGACCTACATTTTTGGGGCCCTGAAGCTTGAACTGTTAGGGGATCCCCTTCACAACCCCTCATACGCAAGATTTTTAAGCAATGTGGATCAAAGTGGCTTCTGGAGCCACTCCGGGATCAGGGTCCCTGAAGCTTAAAGCTTTATTAGTTTCATAGATCCGTCCCTGAATACATCCACATGCAATACTCACAGCGAAGTATATGTCTCGGTGTTTATACACGGAGAGTTTACTTTGATGTCTATTTAAGGTATTAAAAGTATCTGGCCTGGTGGTGAACAGATGACACGCCTATCTACTACACCATCATATAGCATATAGGCATTAAACCCAATTTACCAGCCTATCAGTAAAATAAATACCTGTCAGTTAGATGTTATCAGAATAGCCAAGTTCGTTTTTAGTTATATAATTCTGCACTCAGTGAGCATTAGGCTGACGCTGTTTGTAACACGACTTTTCCATTAACAACTGCACACTCAAACCAACACTAGTACACTTATTGTAACACTTGCACACTTTTTCTAACACTTTCACACTTACTAAAATGCTTGCACACTTATTCTGACACTTACACACTTATTCTAACATAATTCTTGGTGTTACTATGGAGGTGGCAGCACATTAAATCTCAATAAAGAGTTGCCATATCAATCAAAACAGTATTATAAGATCTCTGAATGTTTCATTATTCTCATTAACAGTATCGTAAATATATTTCATTACTCTCAGCTCACGTATTTCTGCAATGTCAGTCACTTATTAAAAATTAAAAGAAACTAAATAATAATTTAATTTCAACCTCTCCATCTCTCTCCCTCCAAGTCTTACAAAATCTCCAATGGAACCCCAAGAAGCTCTCACAGAACCACTTTGAAACCCCGGGATTAGAAGATAAGCTGAACAGGTCCCACTACGACCCGTGTAACAATTTATTTTTCTTAAAAATACCTCACTATCCTTCCCTGTTTCAACAGATTTGTTAAGTTAATTAACAGTTCTTTATCTTTCTTTTATTTCTTCTGGCGGTTGTGACACAGATTCTTGAGGTCAACAGCTTCCTGATATCAGGTATATCGTTGACATTGTGAGTACATACAAACACGAGATACCCCAACATACAGGCATGAGATACCCCAACGTATAGGCACGAGATACCCCAACACACAGGCACGAGATACCCCAACATATAGGCACGAGACACCCCGACACACAGGTACGATACCCCAACATATAGGCACGAGATACCCCGACATACAGGCACGATACCCCAACACACAGGCACGAGATATCCCAACATACAAGCACGAGACATCCCAACACATAAGCACGAGACATCCCAACATACAAGCACGAGACATCCCAACATACAAGCACGAGACATCCCAACACACAAGCACGAGACATCTCAACATACAAGCACGAGAATCCCAACATACAAGCACGAGACATCCAACATACAAGCACGAGACATCCCAACATACAAGCACGAGACATCCCAACATACAAGCACGAGACATCCCAACATACAAGCACGAGACATCCCAACATACAAGCACGAGACATCCCAACATACAAGCACGAGACATCCCAACATACAAGCACGAGACATCCCAACATACAAGCACGAGACATCCCAACATACAAGCACGAGACATCCCAACATACAAGCACGAGACATCCCAACACACAAGCACGAGACATCTCAACATACAAGCACGAGACATCCCAACATACAAGCACGAGACATCCCAACATACAAGCACGAGACATCCCAACATACAAGCACGAGACATCCCAACATACAAGCACGAGACATCCCAACATACAAGCACGAGACATCCCAACATACAAGCACGAGACATCCCAACATACAAGCACGAGACATCCCAACATACAAGCACGAGACATCCCAACATACAAGCACGAGACATCCCAACATACAAGCACGAGACATCCCAACATACAGACAAAGAGCTCCTAACATAATATTGGTTATTAGCCCAATACATCCCAAAATAGCTAGTGTGGATTATTATTCTTACTGGGGTCGTTCCCCAGGATTCTACCCACAGTAGTCAACTAACACCCAGGTACCTACATACTACTAGGTGAACAATGGTAGCAGGTGTAAGGGAAGTTCTCCATAGGTCTCACCCAGCACGGTAATCGAACCCAGGTTTCTCTGGTTATAAGCGGAACGCTGTGACCCCTGAACTACAAGGGGTATCCTGGGCAGCTTCCTTCATTAGTAACAGGTGAGGCAGGAACGTGCCGCCACCGGCATACCAATAGCAAACATTACTACTGTGTGTTCGTTGATCTTTGGAACACCTGGTGTGTTTTTAATGTCTGGATTACCTAACACTCACACTCTACGAATCTACTCCCTGTACTTCTACACTAGTGCTACTACTACTACTACGTCTACCACATTATTATTATTATTACTATTATTATTATTATTATTATTATTATTATTATTATTATTATTATTATTATTATTA